CTCGCAGCTACCAAACACCAGTTATCAGCTACCAAACACCAACTTGCAGCCACTAAACAACAGCCGCAGCCACTATACAACGGCCAACAAACACCAGCGAGTTGGTACTGAATAGCAGCTGCAGCCACTGAACACCCGCAACAGATGCGCACACACAAAGGACTGCAGACACACACACACACACACATACAGATCTACACACACATTGTCAACATCAGACTATATAGTGGTGGATCCCAATTAATATCAGACAACCAGAGCCACTGAACAGCGAGATATATTAAACACCCTCTATAACAACTACAGACACAGACACATGATAGCATAGATTCACACATAGATTCATACAGATCAGAAAACACAGGCACACACATATACACACTTTGTAAATATCTGACTATATTGAGTTGCTCACTGTTAATATCAGACAATATAGCCGTCATTGTAAAATTATATAAACACACACAGACACACAAACAAACATATGCATGAACATAGAAACACATACTCGATCACAATTATGCAGACACACACACACACACACCCGCTACAAGTCAACAGACGCGATTCATCAGCCAATAAACACTTCCATCAGTCACTAAATTCCAGACACAGCCAATAAATACCAGCAGCTAAACGCCTGCCAGTAAACACCAGCCTTAACGACTAAACACAGCCACGAAACAACAGTGAGCAGCCACTGAACACCAGCCATCAGCCATTCAACACGAGATGGCAGCCACTAAACACCAGTTTGCAGCCACAGATTAACAACCACAGCCAATGAACATCAGCAACAGATGCGCACACACAGAAACACGGGAGCACATACACAGACACACACAAATACAGATGTGCATACACACTGTTAACTTCAGACTGTGTAGTGGTGCTCGATGTTAATATGAGACAACCAGAGCCACTAAACAGCGGGAAGATAATAAACACCATCTGTAACAACAACAGACACAGACACATGAAAGCAAAGATTTCAAAAATGGATTCATACAGACCATAAAACACACGAAGACTCGTATACACACACTGTAAATATCTGACTATATTGAGGTGCTCACTGTTAATATCACACGATATAGCCGTCATTGTTAAAATCACACAGTGAGAAGCACGAACACAGAATATGAACCAAACGGTATTGTAACTCTCGCTCATTCAGTTAGTCCTGATTTCCTTAATTACAATAAATGTTGCACGAACAACAACAACTTGCATTTATATGGGTTGTTCTCTCTGTGCGCGTACAACCTGGGATAACAGTATGACTTTATTTCAGCCACAATCAGATCTAATAAGAGACTCACCGTCTTGTCTCCCCGCTGACTGAGCTGCGGTTCCTGCCTTTGGCTCCCGAGCCTCTCAGTGATGTGGCTTCAATGTTCTGGGCTGTTCAGGTAATAGCACACCCTGGTCAGAGTCTGGCAGTAAATCATAGCCAAGCCATGTTCCCTTGGAGATTTCCACACAAAGCAATGGTTTATTAATTAGACACTGTTGACGCAAATCTGAAACAAACAATTTCTTTTTACCTTTTTTGCTATTTGCCAAATAAACTTTAGCATGGCGATGGGTCCAGAAATTACCTGTGCAACTCAAAACTTATATCGTCTTGTACTACTTGCTTGGTGCGTCCTAACTTACTGTACACTCTTTAGTTTTTCAATCCCAATTAGAATGTTCTACCCCTTACAGAGTCTCCTCTCTCTCATCCCAGTCAGTCCAATCCTCTGTTTACCATCACAGCTCATCTAAACCCCTCTCTCTGTTAATCTAACCCTCTCTCATAAAAGCCAGTCTAACCCTCTCTCTCCCTCCTCAAAGCCAACCAAACTCTCTATCTTTCTGATCGAAGTCAGTCTAAACCCTCTCTTCTCATAAAAGCCAGTCTGACCCTCTCTCTGTCCCTCCTCACAGACAGTCGAAACCACTATCTCGCTTTTGACAACCAGACTAACCTTCTCTCGTTAAAGCCAATCTAACCGTTGGTAACTCGTCACAGGCAGCGTAATCCTCCCTTAATATCATTGTAATAGAATTGGTGGATAGGACCAATACCGTTGTTTAATAATCGAAAGTTTATTAAGTGAGTCACAAAAGCTCCAACTGAGACAATAGTTACAGTAAAATCCATCTTATCCGGTCCAACTGGGAAGATGCGTTTGACCCCTTACTCCGACTCTCACGTCAACTCCAACGATTTCATAGTAAAATCTTTCTTTTAAGAGATCCTAACTCTGCCGACCCTGGTCACAGAGATAGCCCCCACCATTCGCAAACTGCTGGTGACTCTGAGCAGGGAAATTTCCCATAGAAAAATACACTGATCGAGAGAAAGACAGATTGGCACCTTTTGTTCTGGCGATCTTCTCCAGCCTGAGAGGTTCTCCGCCTTGAGCTCCGCAGGTGTGTGAGACTGCAGCCATTTCTTTCTGTCGTCCTTTATTCTTACATCTGTGCTCAAGGACCTGATTGCTCATTATCTCAGAGGAGTGAACTTCTCCTCAGACAGATAAGAAATGTCATAAGAATCTTACGTCAACCGGTCCAGCAAAGCTACATATAATCTGGTCATTAAATCAAACGCAACTTATTAAACTGTTACAAGTGAGAGGTTAATTTAAAAGCCTTAAAGACGTTAAGGAATACAAATAGAATCTTACACCATATATCAAAGATTGTGCTTTTATCTTAGCGGGATAATCAAGGTAAATGTTACCAGACATTTCTGCACTGAGAGAGTTACTATTCACTCATATGCAGAGGCCGGATGACAAGAGAGCAAAACTGAACTGAGTAAAAAAGAACATTGAGGGTATATGGGGTGAAAGATGGACGTGTTTCGTATGCGAGACATTCAAATTGTCGGGTTTACTGGAGCCTCAGTTTACTCAATAAGAGTTGGCACAAAGATTCAAAGTAAAGGTCTTTATTCAAATACAAGAGCAACAGTCTCTGCATTAACCGTGACATTATATGTTCATATCAGCATACAGATTTATACAGCAAAACAATAGAAATGTATTTTACCCGCGATAACATCACACTGCGAATAGAGGAAGCCCTCCTTCCTCAAGGACTTCACTGCTCCTCCTCTTCCTCTTGTAAGGGTCACTTTCTTACTGGAGGTAAATCCCCTCACCCCATGTATATCTACGGTTCTCCTTTCCGGTCCCTTGAATTGATCAGTCCGAGTTTCTGACATCTTTGACTCACATATAACTGATATCTTAGATTTGGGAGAATCAATATCGATTCCACTGGGAAATGTGCAGACCCTCAACACAAATCCATCTCTTCCAAAATTACATTTTTTTTGGTGTGTATCTACCTCCACCTCCCGTTATCACAGAGGAAGGCCCCACCCTTCATACGCTGCTTTACACAGCGAGAGAGAGAGAGAGATGGACAACTTCTGAGCAGCCTTTCCGATCTGCTTGTTTCTCAGACTTCAGTTCGGCAGATGTCTGAAGCTACAGCCTTTAATTTCTGTGGTCCAATGATTTACATCTGTGCTGAAGGATCTAATTGCTCTTTATCTCAGAGGTGTGAACTTCTTTCCTGCAAAATATGGAATGTGTTAGGATGCTGACCTCGATCAGTCCAGCAAAGCTCTGCTTAACCCCAAGGGGCAAGGAAAGGGGGGCTGTAAATTGGGTGGTTGTATGAAAGGTTAGAGGGATTGCGGGTGGGTATTTGGAGGAGGGGTTGGTAACAGCAATGTGCTATATCAAGGTCAAGTTATGTGTTTTTAATAACCTGCATGTTATCTGCATCACATTGAAAAGGTACAACAGAGAATAAGGCGGTACTAGTTAATAGAGCAAAGTTTCCGCAAGTACCCAGCGGGCGGCCTTCAGCCATTCTGCCCCACTCGCTGGTACTCCATCCCACAGTCCCTCTGCCTCGCCCTCTCCATTGGCTTCTTGAAGACCCATCTCAAAACCCTCCACTTCGACCATGGTTTTGATCGCCCTCCTTTCCCCCCTCCCCAATCCCAACCCACAGCTCAGGTCTGACTGTCCAGTGCCTTGGGACATCCTCCCGATGTGAAAGCTGCTGTACAAATGTGATGTTATTCTTGTTCTAACCTTGAGATGTTTAGGTTTTCACCGGTTGCCTTCTTCCTCAGAAGCTGACAAAACAAACGAGATTGTCATGAACTGTCTCCTCGAGATATTTGTCCTTCATATTGACGTTGATGTGAAACCTAAAAGCCACAGTAAACCCGCGATTCAATGCCATTCCAGCGCTTGGCTCTCAGTGTCAGAGAACACAGACAATTCATTGAAGGATATTCTGTGAAGACGCGATAAGGCGCTGTACCAAATGCAAGAATTAATATTATTATTGTATTAAATAAGTCATATAAAATGCTATGATCTGAACCGATACAACTTCTGTCATGTTTTAACAGTATAATGTTGAGGTGTTGCTGGATGGCTATTTGATGTCTGTTGGATCAGGATGGAATCTTTTCTAATCCAAAGCGTCCACATCTCTTCATTTATTTCCAATGCTGAACATTAATGTCCTTATGGTTTCCCGGAGTGTTATTTGAAGGCAGCGATATAATCGGTGGAGTCCTGTAGCGGAAGCAGTTAGTGCAAACACTAGTAATTTGAGAGATAACACTGATAATATTTGCATTTGTTATGGCGCCTCATCACATCTTAAAGCGCAACACAGGATATAGTGTAAAGTGAACTCACTGTGTGTATTGTGGGCAATATATTTGGGTGAGGCCCCAATGTCTGGGCTCTCTGTGGATCAAGTGCGTGGATGACTGTAGTGACGGGATCCGCCTTTGTCATTTGGGAAAACATTCCAGAATTGTTTGTGTGGGTTATTCATTGGCGTCGGGAGGCCTCAGTGTGAGGTTTAAACGGTCGATGGGTTCAGTCGCCTCTGTCGGTCGGTTGTCTCTCTCTCTCTCTCTCTGTGTGTCTCTCGTCGCCTGACTTTGGCGCCTCTTTTTCCCTCTGACTCGGCGCCTGCGCAGTGGTGTCCCTGAGCGCGAGGCCGACGGTTTTTTTTTGAACTCGGCGCCTGCGCAGTGCCGTCTCCGGGCGCGGGGCTGACGGTGTTTCGGGGCGCGGCGCCTGTCTGTCTGAGCGCGAGGCGGGACCGCGGGAGGTGGTGATGGCGGCGGAGACGACGGTCAGTGTCGGGGACAGAGAGAGAGAGAGTGTGAGAGAGAGTGAGAATGTGAGAGAGTATGAGAATGTGTGAGAGAGTGACAGTGTGTGAGAGAGTGAGAGAGAGACTGTAAGAATGTGTGAGAGAGTGAGAGTGTGTGCGAGTGTGTGAGAGAGTGACTGTGAGAGAGTGAGAGAGAGACTGTGTGAGAGTGAGAGAGTGAGAGAGTGTGAGTGTGAGAGAGAAAATGTGTGAGAGAGTGTGAGAGTGTGAGAGAGACAGAGTGTGTTAGAGAGAGAGAATGTGTGAGAGTGTGAGAGAGAGACTGTGTGAGAGAGAGTGTGTGAGAGAGTGAGAGTGTGAGAGAGAGACTGAGAAAGAGAGAGAGAGTGTGTGAGAGACAGAGAGATTGTGAGACACTGCGTGAGAGAGTGAGAGTGAGTGAGACTGTGAGAGAGTGTGTGAGAGAGAGTGTTTGTGAAAGAGAGTGAGAGAGAGTGGGAGTGTGTGAGAGATTGAGAGTGTGAGAGAGAGGAGAGTGAGAGAGAGAGAATGTGAGAGAGTGTGTGAGAGATAGAGAGAGTGAGAGAGAGAGAGTGGGAGTGTGTGTTTCTGTGTATAATATTATTAAGTTTTATGGTCCGAACTGATGTGACTTCTGTGATGATGTATTGAGGAACATTGAGCGGTTTCGGGGCGGATGATATTCCCGTCTCATTTGCCTGTTGTACACTGTGGGATCAGACGGGACCTTCATTCCAGGCCGAGGGGAGAGAGGGACTGAAGCTCCAACAACATTCTTCCACATTTATTCATTCATTTCTAATTCGGGGTATTATTTTTCTCGCGGTTTGCGGGGATGTGATCTGTGCGGAGCGGTTTAATCTGTGGAGTCCTGTGGTGTCGAAGTGAGTGCAGTCACTCGTCATTTGATTGATAGCAGTAACAATCCTTGTGTTTGGTACCAAGTACACAAACACAGACACACAGAGAGACAGACACACACGCACTGACATACACAGACACACACACACACAAACACTGACATACACACACACAGACACCGAGCTATCACACAAATACATACAGACACACACATACACACAGTCAAGAAAAACCGTCGGCCTCGCGCTCAGGGACACCACTGCGCAGGCGCCGAGTCAGAGAAAAAAAAAGAGGCGCCAAAGTCAGGCGCTGCTGTTCATCAGTCGACGAGAGACACACAGAGAGAGAGAGAGAGAGACAACACTGCGGCCATGTCACCCCCACCCGCCCGAGTCACCTCCACCCCCCAGTCACCCCCACCCCCCCAGTCACCCCCAACCCCCAGTCTCACCCCAGTCTCCCCACAGTCACCCCACACCTCCAGTCACACACACAGACAGTGAGGAGCCAATGTCAACACCTGGTCACCAGACACACACACACAGTCACAGAGACAGACAGACAGGGACACAGAATGAGAGAGAAAGACAGACAGACATTGGCCAATTTAAACCGTTTACACCTCACACTGAGGCCTCCCGTCGCCGAGGAGTAAACTCCACAAACAAATCAGGAATGTTTTACCCCAAAAAGATAAAGTTTCATTCCCTAATTAATTCTGAACAGAAGGAAAGACGAGACAGGAAGAGGTTCGTGTGTGTGAGTGTCGCCGCGGCTTCTCTGTCAGGACGTCGGTGAAGTGAAGCCTCCGGACAGAGACTCGAAGTTTTTCTGACCCGATGACCGGACGCGGTGAAGACCTTCGTGTTGGACAGTGACCTGCGGTCACCTCCCCCTCGGCTCGGCCTCGAGCTCCGCCACTGTCCAGCGCTCTGGGACCATCCCCTTCACCAGCGGCGCCATATAAAGGCAAGTTGTTGTTGTTGTTGTTACAGACACAATATTAATACAGAATGGTTTAGTTTGACACAGTAACCGTTGTCCCCACCGCAGGGCGAGGAGACGGGCAAACTGTACAGTGTAATGTTTTATCCGAGGCTCCAGGAAAACAGTACATTGACGCTGTACGAAAGGCTGATCCCGTCACTACAGTCATCCAAACAGGTCATTGGGGCCACAAACAGCCCAGACATTTGGGCGTCACCCAAATATATTGCCCACAAAACATACAGTCAGTTCACTACACAATATATCCTGTGAAGCGCTTTCAGGCGTCTCGGGTACGCGATGAGACGGCGTATCAAATGCGCAGCTTATTATTGAATTTATTATTAAATGACGAGTTATTAACTGATATGCTACAGGACTCCACCTATTAAATCACTCCACAAAAAAATAACGCAAACCATTAGGAAACTTATATTCAAAATTGTAAATAAATGAATAGAAGAGTTTTGTTGGAATCTTTAGTCACTCTACACCTTTGGCCAAGTAAAAGATTCAGCCCTTTCCAGGTATCAAACAGACAAATGAATATTAGCAATCCCGAAACCTCTAAATGTACCACAATAAATCATCAGAGAAGCATATCCGTCTGGACCCAAACATTGAATATGACTTGCGTGAATATAATAATAATAATTCTTGTATTAATGGAGTTCAGGTCCTCCAGCATGTGAGGCGAGAGCTTTCACCGCTGAGCTGCAGGATTCCGCGTGAAGTCCGAATTGTAGGCAAACTGTACAAATTGTGGAAAATTAGATTTGATAAACATGTGCAATTTAGTACAGCCAGAAAATGTCAGGAATGGGTTAAGACTACAGTTTCCCCGATTCAATGTGTCTTGATCCATCACCACATGCGCACAGAGAGCCAAGCGCTGGAGTGACATTGAATCGCGGGTTTATTGTGGCTTCTGGATTTCACATCACTCTCAATGTGAAGGACAAATATGTTGTGGAAACTGTTCATGACAATCCCGTTGGTTTGACAGCTTTTGAGGAAGAAAGAAACCAGCGACAACCTGAACATCTCAAGGTTAGCCTTTACAACAACAACAATAACAAAACTACACGTGTAGTTTTGGAGTCTTGTAGCTCAGTGATTAGAGCACTCGCTTTGCAAGCGAGAGACCTGAGTTCAATTCCAGGCAGAGGGCGAAACCTTGGGCAAGTTTCCTTACACCACACACCTAATAATAATTCCTCCAAAGCCAAAAACAATAATAAGTTGGTCATTTTCAAACTCCGACTGTTTGTGGGACTTTACTGTGCGCAATTGGCTGCCGCGTTCGCCCACAAATATACAGTCAATTCACTTTACAGTGTGTTCTGTGAAGCGCTTTGGGACGTCCTCCCGACGTGGAAAGTGCTGTATCAAATACAAAGATTATTATTATTATTAGTGCCTTTCACTTCGGGAAGGGACTGGATGGTTAGTGTTTCTGAACCGAGCGCGGGGTCGGGATTGGGGCGGGAGGAAGGCATGGGGCGGGGTAGTGGAAGGAGGGTGATCGAAACTACTGTTGAAGCGGAGGGTCCTGAGTTGCGTGTTGAAGAAGCCAATGGAGGGAGCGAATCAGTGGGACTACGGAATGGATTTCGAAATGATGGGGACAGAGTGGCTGAAGGACCTCCCACCAGTTACATCAGGAAACTTTGCGGTTTCGCTCGTACCTTTTTATTCTCTGTTGTACATATTCATTATGATGCAGATAACATGCAGATTATTAAAAAAAACATACCTTGTCCTTGATATAGCACTTTGATTTTATCAACCCCCTCCTCAAACTACCCCCCAACCCCTCAATCTCTCTAACCCCTAAAAACTATCCCATTTGCATCCCAGTATTTCCAATCTGCCCCTCCTTGTCAAACACATTGTTGCAGGTCAACTTTGTTCTCATCTCTCCCTCCACTTCCTCCTCGAGCCCCTGCAGTCTGATTTTCGTCCTGACTGCCCACAGCATAGAGACACCGCTTGTCAAAGTCATAAACAATGTTCTCTGTATCTGTAATAAGGACTCTCTCTTCCTCCTCGTCCTCCTGGATCTCTATACAGTTTTCGAAAAGGATGACCACGTAATCTTCCTCCACCACCTCCTCCATCATCTACCTCAGTGGGACAGCATTCGCATGGTTTGAACTCTACTTAACAAAGAGCCCCGACTTCATCTCGGCAAACATGTTCTCCTCCTGTCCCAGGTCTCCATTTGGGGCCCTCTTCTTTTCCTCATCTATATGCTCCCTCTGGGCTATATCATCCGCAGATATGGAGTAAACGTCCACATATATGCTGATGGTACACAAATCTACTTTGTCTTATCCAGTATCGACTCCAGGTCCACGAATGTTGCATCATCTTGACTGCAAACATCGGGGCCTGGATGAGAGCAAACTTCCTGCCGCTGAATATGGACAAAATGGAAGCCATACTCTTTGGCTGCCGTCAAAGTATTCACTCCTGCGGAACTGAGCTCCTCAACCTCCATGGGCTCAGACTCACTGAACCTGTGCACAATCTTGGCGTCTGGTTTGACCCCCAGCTCTGTAAGATTATATTTATGATGTTTATATCAATGCAAATTGCTGTCGTTATTCGAACAGATCACCTTAGTATGGTTTAATGTATAAATGGTCTCCAAAATTCATAAGGGGACAACTTGATTTATCTGAACTACTGATGACATACAGATGTGGAGTATAACCAACAGCCTGTTAGTTGGGCCGAATGGCCAGTATTTTCTATGCATCTATGAATCTAAGAGCCACAGCTTGTCTCATCCTTGTTCATATTTATTTCCTCTAACACTGGTGATCATCCTGGTGGCTCTCCTCTACACTGCGTTAAGGATCTGTGCTGACTCTTTAGTCATTCTTTGCCTCAATCCTTCCATCTTGTGGTTTTGGCTGGTTAGACTCCAGCAGTTACCCCAACACACACTCACGGTGTTTGTTGACCTGTTTTCATTCGCGACAGACACTCGGCTGACAAAAAATTTCAGCTAAGAAACCACACCGCTCCTTAAGTGCTCCGAGATGTTTCCCACGTGAGGAGCACTGTATTGTTGCTATTGATTTTATTGTCTCCTCTGAGACATCTCTTTTCCTGGGTGATTCTCCCTCGATTATCTAACGATAGTTTTCAACTTATCCCTTCAACTCGAGAGATCGGTCTGCTCCGAATATGGTGACACTATAGAGAAGATGGCATATTTCTGAATGGTTTTCACTTTCCTTTACGCTGTAGGAAATAAGACTAAATTATGTTGCAGTCTACAATATAACGGACTGAATGCCGCCATTTTCTTTCTCTTTCCCGACAAGTGGAAATGATTGTTGATAACTTGGTGCTCATGTTGTTGACGATCTTCCTGGTCCCAAGTCCGAAGCCCAATCCACAGTTACATTAACTGAAATTATCCATAAAAGGCAACATTGCATATTGTTGTAACGTTTCGCTGACTGTTACACAAATGAGGTTCAAAGATCAGGATTAGGAGATTAGATAGAGAACGCAGTGGATGCTCTAAATTGGGCGGGTTGTTAAAATGAATCAAAGGTGAATTTGAAGTGGGAGGTGGCAAAGTCACACTCGTGTTGGTCTGATGATGGATGGGAAAACAGATTCCCACCTACTCTTGCTCTGCAGCAGATTGTCCAGTTTCTGGAGATGAGCTTTATTGATGACACTCTATGAAATGGATAATGAGCAGAACTCGTCACTCATCTTCATGTTGTATTAACATAGACAACAACAAACGCTTTATATCGTGCAACGCATGCAGCATATAATCACAGAAACCTTGACAGAATGTGTAACAGAAGTGAAACATGATGAATTGAAAACGAATCAGAGGATAAAGGAGAGAGCCAGAGTGCGCCTGAGAAATGAGAGTCAGTCCGATTTACAGAAATGAGGGAGAGTGTTAGAGATAGGATGGGCATGGGAGAAAGAAACAGATTCAGCGAGCGAGAGATGGAGAAAGCAGTGAATGACTGAGTGAGTGAGATTGTGAGATGGATTTTGTGTGAGAGGGGTGGTGAGGGGCAGTGAGGGAGAAGGTTTGTGAGAGAATGAGAGAAGAGAGTGTGTGTGGGTAAGAGTGTGAGTAAGAAATGAGAGAGACAGTGGAGGGAGAGGGGTGGATGGATAGGGAATAAAGAGAGAGATAGAGTGAGTGTGGGTGAGAGAATGAAGCAGAAGTTTAGGGAGTGGGAGAAATCAAAGAGGTGAGAGAGAAGCAACGAGTGAGTGTTTGACAGAGGGGGAGACAGATTGATTGTTACAGAGCCTGATAGAAGCGAAACAGAGTGTGAGAGTGTGAGTGAGAAAAGAGGGCGAGAGTGATTGACAGAAATGGGGGATGGAGTGAAAGAGAAAGACGGGATGTGGCGAGAGTAAGAAACAGAGACAGAGAGAGAAAGCAGAGACAGAGAGTGAAAGGAATGATTGAGCGTGTGGGTGGAGAAAGTGTTTGCGAAAGAGGAGAGTGAAGAGGGGGAGTGAGTGACAGAGAAAGGGGAGATAGAGAGAGTGTGAGAGGGGAAAGAGAGTGTGAGAGCGGTGATGTTGTTTGTGAGAAAGGGTGTGTGAGAGGGTAACAGAGAGGGAGGGAATGTGTGAGAGAAACAAAGGGAGAGAGGGCAAAGACTGATTGAGAGAGTGATACAGACAGAGTGTGAGATGAAAGAGTGAAAATGAGCGAGAAAATCCACAACATTTAACACAATATTAAAAACATTGGCATTTCCAATAAGGTTATTTCTTCCTTTCCCATTTAGTTTTTCGAGAAATCCCTGAAGCCAAACTTTTGTACCACACCCACAAACAAAGAACCATAGAGATGTACAGCACAGATGAAGATTATTCAGCTTATGATGGATGTGGTGGCACTTTTTGATATCAAATCTTTCAGTCCCGTATCCCTGCTCTGTTCCCAAATCCATTTTTAGATAGTTCACTCCATTCATATCGATATGTAGACATGTTTTGAAAACCAATATGGATTCTGCATCAACACCAATCCCGCTCGGGCTTTCCATAACACAACAACCAAATGTGTAGGACAACATATTCTCCAAACCTGCTCATTTACTAGTTTGCTATCTCTCTATCTTAAATTGATGCTTTAAGAACTGAACCTCGACCAGTGGAACTTTTATAGCAGGTAAAGATTGAGTTTCTGTGGAAATCTCCTAGGGAACAGGGCGAGGCTATGATTTACTGCCAGACATTAGCTGCTGGACTCTGACCAGGGTGTGTTATTACCTGTACAGCTCAGAACACTGAAGCCACATCACGAAGAGGCTCGGAAACCAGAGGCAGGAACCGCAGCTCAGTCAGTGGGGAGACAAGACGGTGAGTCTCTCATTAGCTCTGATTGTGGCTGAAACAAAACAGTAAAGTTACACCAGGTTTTAAGCACTTGGAATGAGAGGATAGAAGAAATAGAGTGCACATGAGAATTGAGAGGGAGAGGTTGGAGGGAAGAATGGTTGACAGGAATAGGGAGTGAATGATAGAGAGAGAGAGAGAGAGAAAGAGAGAGAGAGTGTAGATGAGCGAAAGAAACAGAAACAGGAAGAGAAGGAAGGGGGGAGAAAAATCAGAGTGTGAGTGAGTGATCGATAGTGTGAGAAGGAGTGTGTGTGTGTTAGAGGGGGAGGCAGAGTGCGGTAGAGAGACGATGGGGTGAGAGAAAGAAACAGACCGGGAGGGAAAGAGGGAATAAGCAAAGCGGTGAGAGATTGGCAGTGAGTGACTGCACGACAGAGGCGAAGGGATAGCTATTGAGTGAGAGAGTGTGTGTGAGAATGTGAGTGAAATGTGAGGGGCAAAGCGATTGACAGAAAGGAGGTGAGGGGGAGAGAGGTGGTGAGAAAGAAACAGAGATATGGAGACAGAGAGTGAAAGAAAGTGAATAAGATTGTGGGAGGAGAGTGTGATTGTGAAAGAGAGGAGGGAGAAAAGGAGGAGTGAGTTATCGAGAGAGCGTAGACGGAGAGACCTTGAGAGGGGAAAGGAAGTGTGAGTGGAGGGAGGGCTGGTGTGGGAGAAGAGTGGGATAGAGAGAGAGGAATTGAGAGAACGAAAGAGTGTCTGTGAGACAGAGCGCGAGAAGGGGAGCCAATGACTGAGAGAGGACAGAGAGAGAGTGTGTGAGAACAAAAAGAGAAAATGAGAGAAAAATTTCACAACATTGAACAAAATATAAAACCGGGCATCTCCAATATGCTTTTTCCTTCCTTTACTGATCAATTTTTTCTAAAAAAATCCCTGAATCCAATCTTTTGTGCCACACCCACGAACAAAGAAACATCGAGATGTACAGCACGGAAGAAGGATGGCTGTGGTGACTATTTTAATACCAATCCTTTCAGTCCCATTTACATTGCTCTTTTCCCAGTCAACTATCCCTTTTTAGATAGTTGACTCCATTTAGATCGGTTTCAAGTGATGATCTGAAAACCAATCTGGAATCTGCCTCAAACATCATTCCCGCCAGTGCTTTCCATAACCCAACAACCAACTGTGCAGGAAAACAAATTCTCCAAACGTCCCAATTTGCCAGTTTGCTAACTCTCTGAAATTGATGCTTCAGGGATTGAACTCTGACCAGAAGGACTTTTATATCAGGTAAACATGAGTTTCTGTAGAAATCTCCAAGGGAACAGGGCTTGGCTATGATTTACTGCCAGACATTAGCTGTTGGACTCTGATCAGGGTTTGTTGTTACCAGAACACTGAATCCACTTCACTGAGAGGTTCGGGAACCAAAGGCAGGAACCGCAGCTCAGTCAGCGGGGAGACAAGACGGTGAGTCTCTTATTAGATCTGATTGTGGCTGAAATAATGTCATACTATTATCCCAGGTTGTAAGCGCACAGAGAGAAAAACCCATATAAATGCAAGTTGTTGTTGCTCGTGCAACATTTATTGTAAGTAAGGAAACCAGGAGAAACTGATTTAAAATATATAGCAAGATTTAAAATATCATTTGTTTCATAAACGGAAGATCTCGCTTTACGACTGTGCTTACGGTCACGCTCCCTCACACATAGTGTCCTCCACCACTCCAACATTCTCCAACACACTGTCCGGCGTGTAGGCCGCTGTATCAATGCAAGTTGTTGCTGTTATTTGAATTAATCATCGTGGAATGGTTTCAGAAATAAATGGTCTCCGAAATTCATTGGGGAACTTGATTGATCGGAAACATTATTAACATACCAATGTGGAATTTAAGCAACAGCCAGGCGGTCGGGCCGAATCTGAGCTGTAATTTCTATGCATCTATGAATGCAAGAGCCTCAGCTTGTCTCAACCTTGCTCATAGTTCATTCCTCTAACACTGGTGATCATCCTGGTTGCTCTCCTCTGCACTACATTAAGTATCTGTGCTGACGCTTTTGTCAGTCATTGCCTCAATCCTTCCATCTTTCGGTTTTGGTTGGTTGGACTCCAGCAGTTACTCAGCTTTGTTTTGAATCATGTTCGGTTTGTTGATCGGTTTTCGGTGGGACAGACACTCGGCTGACAAAAAAAATTCAGCTCAGATACCTCACTGCTGCTTATGTGCTCCGAGCTGCAACCCACGAGAAGGGCACTATATAGCTGTTGTTGCTATTGTTTTTATTGCCTCCTCTGAGACGTCTCTTTTGTTGGGCACAGTTTGTCCAACGATAGTTTAAGACACATTCCTCCAATTCGAGAGATCAATCTGCTCCGAATATGGAGACGCTATACAGGAGCTGGGGTATTGCTGAACGGTTCTCAGTTTATTTTACCCTGTCGGAAATAAGACTAAATTATGTTTCAGTCTACAATCAAACGGACTGAATGCCGCCATTTCCTTTCTGTTTCTCCGCAAGTGGAAACGATTTTTGACAAAATGTTGCTCAAGTTGTTGACTCCAGCTTCTTGGTAACAAGTCCGGAGCCCAAACCACAGTTACATTAACTGAAAATATCCATAAAAGGCAACGTTGCACATCAGCAATGATAACGTTTCACTGACTGTTACACAAATGAGGTTCAAAGATCAGGATCAGGAGATTAGATAGAGAGCACAGTGGATGCTCTGAATATGGAGGGCTGTTAAAATGAATCAAAGTGAATTTGAAGTGGGAGGTGGCAAATGCACGCTGGTGTTGGTCTGATGATGGATAGAAAAACGGATTCCCAACTTCTCTTGCTCTTTAGCAGATTGTACAGTTTCTGCAGACGGAATTTATTGGTGACACTATATAAAATGGATAATGACCAGAACTCGTCACTCACCTTCTTGTTGTATTAACATAGACCACAACAAATGCTTTATATACTGCAACTCATGCAGTCGTTTAATCACAGTGCACTTGACAGACTGCGTAACAGAAGTGAAACATGATGAATTGAGAAAGAATGAGAGGATAAAGGAGAGAATGAGAGTGCGCCTGAAAAATGTGAGACAGTACGATTTACAGAAATAGGGGAGAGGGTGTAAGAGAGAGGATGGGCATGAGAGAAAGAAACAGGTTCAGGGAGAGAGAGATGGTGAAAGCAGTGAGTGCCTGAGTGAGTGAGATTGTGAGACGGAGTGTGTGTGAGAGGGGTGGAGAGGGGCAGTGAGTGAGAATGATTGTGAGAGAATAGGAGAAGAGAATGTGAGTGGGTAAGAGTGTGAGTAAGAAATGAGAGAGACAGTGTGGAGGGGAGAGGGGTGGATGAACATTGAGTAAAGAGAGAGATAGAGTGAGTGTGGGGTGAGAGAATGAAACAGCGAAATTTATGGAATGGAAGAAATAAAGAAGTGATAGAGAGAAGCAATGAATGAGTGTTTGACAGAGAGGGAGACAGATGGATTGTTACAGTGACTGATAGAAGCGAAACAGAGTGTGAGTGAGAAAAGAGGGCGAGAGTGATTGACAGAAATGGTGGATGGAGTGAAAGAGAAAGGTGGCGCGTGGGAGGGGGTGTGTGCGGGTTGTGGCGAGAGTAAGAAACAGAGACAGAGAGGGAGAAAGCAGAGACAGAGAGTGAAAGGGAATAATTGAGCGTGTGGGAGGAGAAAGTGTTTGCAAAAGAGGAGAGTGAAGAGGGGGAGTGAGTGACAGAGAGAGGGGAGATAGAGAGAGTGTGAGAGGGGAAAGAGAGTGTGAGAGCGGTGATGTTGTTTGTGAAAAAGGGTGAGTGAGAGAGTAACTGAGAGGGGGGGGGTGGAATGTGTGAGAGAAACAAAGAGAGAGAGGGCAGAAACTGATTGAGAGAGTGATACAGACAGAGTGTAAGTTGAAAGAGTGAAAATGAGCGAGAAAATCCACAACATTTAACACAATATTAAAAAAATTGGCATCTCCAATAAGTTTATTTCTTCCGTTCCCATTTAGTTTTTCGAAATATCCCTGAAGCCAAACTTTTGTACCACACCTACAAACAAAGGAACATAGAGATGTACAGCACAGACGAAGATTACTCAGCTTATGGTGGATGTGGTGGCACTTTTTATAACTATTCTTTTAGCCCCATTTCGCTGCTCTGTTCCCAAATCCATTTATAGATTGTTCACTCCTTTTAGATCGATATGTAGACATGTATTGGAAACCAATATAGATTCTGCCTCAAAGATCATTCCCGCCAGGGCTTTCCATAACGCATTAACCAAATGTGCAGGACAACATATTCCCCAAACCTCCTCATTTGCTAATTTGCTATCTGTCTATCTTAAATTGATGCTTTGGGAACTGAGCCCCGAGCAGTGTAACTTTTATATCAGGTAAACATTCAGTTTCTGTGGAAATCTCCAAGGAACAGGGCGAGGCTATGATTTACTGCCAGATATTAGCTGCTGGACTCTGATCAGGGTGTGTTATTACCTGTACAGCCCAGAACACTGAAGCACATCACTGAGAGGCTCGGGAACCAGAGACAGGAACCGGAGCTCAGTCAACGGGGAGACAAGAAGCTGAGTCTCCCATTTGCTATGATTGTGACTGAAATGAGGCAGTAAAGTTACTTCAGGTTTTTAGACTTGGAATGAGAGGAGAGGGAGAGATAAAGTGCGCGAGAAATGAATGGGAGACAGGGGGTTTGAGGGTAGAGTGGTTGACAGACATGGCAGAGTGATAGAAAGGGCGTGGGTGAGTGAATGAAACAGAGACCGGGAGAGAGCGAGCGAGAGAGAGAGAGACAGAAGACTGTGAGTGAATGATTGAGAGTGTGGGAAAGTGTGTGTGTTTTAGGAGAGGCGTAGAGAACGAATGGTGGAGAGAGGATGGGTTGAGAGAAAGAAGCAGAGACAGGGAGGGTGAGAGTGGGAGGAAGCAGAGCAGTGAGAGAATGGCAGTGAGTGACTTTGTGGCAAAGGGGGAGAGGAATTTGTTAAGAGTGAGAGTGTGGGTAAGAATATGAGTGGGAAAGTGATTGACGGAAAGGGGTGAGAGAATGAGAGAGAGTTGAAGTAGTGAGAGAAAGATAGAGAGACAGGGAGAAAGCTGAGACACAGAGTGAAAGAAAGTGACTGAGATTGTGGGAGGAGGGTGTGTTTGTGAAGGAAAGGAGGGAGAAGAGGGGTGTGAGTGATCGAGAGGGTGGAGATAGAGACTGTGAGAGGCGAAAGAGTGTGTGAGTGGAGGGACAGGCGTGTGACGGAGAAGGGGGATAGATATATAGTTATAGACGAATTGAGAGAGCGAAAGAGAGTCCGTGTGACAGAACGAGAGTGCGGAGCCAGTGATTTAGATAGGACAGAGAGCGTGTGAGAGGAAAAAGAGAAGATGAGAGAGAAAAATCCACAACATTTAGAACAACATAAAAAACGAATGTCCCCAATATGTTTTCTTTGGACCTTTCCCGATTAGTTTTTCGAAAAGTCGATATCTGGACATGTTTTGAAAGCCAATATGGATTCTTCCTCAAACATCTCTCCCGCCAGGGCTTTCCATAACCAAATAACCAGCTGTGCAGGAAAAAAAATCACCAAACCTCCCTAGTTTGTTAACGATCTTAAATTGGTGCTTTGCTTTCGGCACTTAATCCCGAACAGGGGAACTATTATAGCTGATAAGCATTTATTTTCTGTGGAAATCTCCACGGAAGCAGGGCGAGGCTTTGATTATTCTGCCAGACATTAGTTGCTGGACTCTGACCAGTTGTGTATTACCTGTACAGCCCAGAACACTGAAGCTCCTCATTGAGAGGCTCGCGAACCAAAGGCAGGAACCGGAGCTCAGTCAGTGGGGAGACAAGACGGTGAGTCTCTCATAAGCTCTGATTGTTGCTGAAATAAAGCAGGAAAGTTACTGCAGGTTTTAAACGCTGGGGGATGCCACTCCATGCGAACAGGGCAAGATAAATGCAAGTTGTTGTTTTGTAGTTAGTGAAAGTTTGATGATATGTAAGAAACCCGGAGCCAATGATCATGGAATAATTTCAATGTAATTTGTTTAATTAATTTAACTAACCATCGTGACATTGTTTAAGGGGGGAATGTTCTCCAACATCTACTCATGAACTTGATTGATCCGAAATATTGTTGATGAACGATGGGTCCTCTTCTAGAATATTAGTACCAGCCAGACTGCATGGGCTGAATGGCTCTATCCTGAGCTTTAATACTTGCTCGTCGCTGCTTCCCCCATAGCTAGCCATGACCCTGCTTGCTCTCCTCTACACTAGGAGTCATGTAGCTCAGTGGTTAGAGCACTCGCATTGCAAGCGAGAGACCTGAGTTCAATTCCAGGCAGAGGGCGAATCCTTGGGCAAGATTCCTTACTCCACATAGAGCCTAATAATAATCCCTCCAAAACCAAAAACAATAATAAATTGATCATTTTCAATCCACGACTGTTTGTGGGACATTGTTGTGCGCAAATGGCTGCCGCGTTCGCCCACAAATATACAGTCAATTCACTTTACAGTGTGTTCTGTGAAGTGCTTTGGGATGTCCTCCCGACGTTAAAAGCGCTATACCAAATGCAAGGATTATTGTTATTATTCTGTGAAGCGCTTTGAGACGTCCTCCCGACGTGAAAAGCGTTATATCAAATACAAGGATTATTATTAATATTATTACACTACCTTAAGGAGCTGGGCAGACGCTTTTTCATCCATTGCCTCAATCCTTCCATCTTGCTTTTTGTGTAGTGAAACTCAAACTATTACCCAAAACACATGCTGGATTCCCACAAGCCTTCGCTCTTGCCCATCTGGTCTTAATTCTCTCCAGATTAGGCAAGGTGGATGCAATCCTCCAGAGCGAAAGTGTTTATTCCATTTCAACAATCTATCTCTGGTATTCTCATGTGTAGGTGGGAGGCATGGAAATGTCAGCTTTGTTTGGATACTGTTTAGTTTGGTGAAGGGATTTATCGCTTGTCAGAAACTCGGCTGACAAAAAAAATCAGCTCAGGAACCACAATAGAGTTTTAGTGCTCAGAGATACTGCCTACGTCAATAGCACTATATATTGTTGTTGCTATTGTTCTGGTGCATTCTCTGAGTCGCCTCTTTTTGTGGCCGTTGCTCCTCAGCTTATCGATAATTTATCGCTCTATCTCAGGCTTTCAGTACAATGTGAATCTCGAGAAGGTGTGGAGAGGCTGATCTATCTGAATGTTGCTCACCAGCTTTCACCATGTGGGAAAGAAGATTTAATGCTCAACCTTAATCTTCCTGACTGATTGCCACCATTCTCTTTCACTTTCCCCATAAGTGGAAATTAATTGTTAAGATGGCCCTCATCTTATTGAGTTTTAAGCAGCTGAACGCAACTCACCTGAACTTCCTCGTCGCAAGTCCAGAGCCCAACCCACAGTTACGTTACCTGGAAATACGCATAAAAGTCAACATTGCTTATTGGCGTTGATAACGTTTCAGTGACTATTACACACACGAGGTTCAAAGAGCAGGAGATCAGACACAGAGCACAGAGAATGTGCTGCATTGGGCAGGTGGCTAAAATGAAACAAAGGGAACGTTGAAGTGGGAGAAAGCAATGTCACACTGGTCTTCGTCTGATGATCGGTGGGAAGGCCCGAGATTGTGGAAGAGAAAATCACATTCACACTGTAACAGACTGAAGAGTTTCTGGGGGGGATGTTTGATATTGCCACTGCCGGAAATGGACAAGTTTAACATTGGACAATAATTTTTTTTGTTTGTATCAGGATTGACCCACAGCTGTCCATCCTATCCCACATATGGCCACTGACCAGGACCACCTACCTCCACATCCGTCACATTACCCGCCTCCGACCGAACATTATCCAAGATTAAACACTAGTCCATGCGTTCGAGACCTCCTTCCTCCAGTATTGAAATGGCCTATTCGTTGATCTCTCATTCTCCACTATTCCCAAGATGCAGCTCATCCCAAACTCTGTCGTCCGCATACTCACACACGCAAAACTGAGTAGCCCCATCACACCAGTTCTCGCCTAACTCCACTGTCACCTGTCACCGAATGGATTGATGTAAATTTGATGACACTAAGAAAATGATCTGAGATACCATCGCAGGAGTTATTTTGATTGGTCATTCATGCTCCCAGTTAGTTGTGGATGTTGTAGTGTGTAGAAACCCGGTTGTAAGTCTATTGGCGAATCACTATTCAAGAGATAATCATCCCTTAAACAAAAAATTGAACGCGCAATTCATGACTGTTTGAGGGACACTACTGTGCACAATCGGCAGCTACGTTTTGCCGACAGAATATATTTAATTCACTTCACAGCACATTCTGTAAAGCGCTTTGAAACCTCAACCACGTGATTGGCACTATAACAAATGTATGCATTATTATTATTATCATGCATTTGTCCACTGATAAATTGATCAGCAGTTACCTCTGATGCCACTGATGTTCAGAATGCTGTATCAGATTGAACCTCATAACTATCTGTTTCATTTTATAGGTGATCTGTGAAGAGCTTCTGATTACCTGGAATCACCATGGCCCAGGCTCCCAATCCTAACCCACCACTGACAGATCACAAAGAAAACGAAAGTGAGACAGGCAAGTTGAGAAAATCTGCTAACATTTGCAGTCAGTGAAGCTGTCAACCTTTTATAAACAAATTAATTTAGCATCTTATTACTTTCTCGAGACGTCTCTCGAGGCTTCATAGTAAAGAGGATACATTGTGAAGCGTATTTGCTTTCATATTTTGTGGGCGAAATGAGCAGCCAGCTTTCCCACAGCAGAGTCCTGAAAGACCACACGTCCAACAATGCACTCCCCACCCCAGAACACCGCCACCAAACACACGCACACCCCAGCAATGTGCAGGAGCGTTATCTTAGACTACATGATTCCGAAGCCTGATGTGGGATTTCAACGCACAACCTTGTGACTGAGATTCGCGTGCGCTGCCACTGAGCCACATTGACACATACTGATCAACCGTGAAATGTATTTAACATGCGAATGTACAATATGGTATGAAATTAGTTTTATTATCAGTCTTATGGACAACAGGTTCAAGGGTCACATTCTATGAGACTCTCGCCCTGTACGACGGATACGAGCTGTTCAGACTCACTAAGTTCTACCGGGACAGAATAGAACAGGCCATCGAGGAAGATGTGGAGACCGTCAGCTCAGTACTGACAAGAAAGAAATACTTCAGCCAGGAGGAATATCAAGTAGGTGGTCAGATGGGAAGAGTTTATCTGATTTCCATAAGCTAATCCTGTGTGAAATATGTCAGTATGTTTATTGTGCAAAGTGTATCCATTCAACATGTGGCAACACATTACAGTTTTCATTGCTATGGCATCTATCAACTGGGTAAACTTCTCAAGATGCTTTATAATGATGGCAGGGCAACCAAGCTGGGTTTGAATTGGAGCGGGTGGGGAGGAGGTAAAACTAAACGAGCGCATGGTTAAAGAGGCGTGCTTGAGCATGGGAAGTGAGGAGCGAATCATAGTGACACTGGGATGGAGGAAGTGGGCTCGGTGGCTGCGGATTGATGCAATAAATATTAACCATCTCCATGCATCACTGCTTCACATTTGTTGCTTTGGAAACTGACCCGATGGTGCTGTGGCTAAAGCTCCAGCTCACTTTTTGTGACAGGCGGGTGAGGAGAGGTCAGGATGGACTGTGATGCTCTCCTCATTAAACTCACTGCCAAGTCTCGCATGTGAACAATGACCATTTGACTGGGGTAAAGGAGGGCAACCTGTGCCTGTGGAACCTCAAACAACATGAACACACCACGATGGAACTGGCCATTTCCTGATCACAACCACAGCTCACGTTTCCACTGTTATTAATGCTCACTCTCTACAGAAACTGACTGAGGTCACACACAGTGGGCAGAGGAGACAAAGCTCCAAACTTCTTCTGAACACGGCGCTGGGGAAAGGTTCGAGAGCTCAAAGAGTGATGTGGGAAACCTTTGTTGAAATAAGGTACACTTTGCCCAAACTGAACAAAATAATGACTGAAATACAGGAGCAAGGTACAATATACATTTACAGTGAATCCATTCCCAAATCAATTACATATTTTACTGAAGCACCCTAGATAACTAATTCACTATAACTAATGGAATGTCCTCGATACCAACAGGTGCCAGTCTAGTAAACCAGGTGATTATTGACCAAAGTGTACCAGATGTACCCAGCTCACTTAAAGGTATGTGACCATTTCAAGGTGTAACCAATGGATTCATTTCTGAAATGCAGAGTTTGAATCTTCGACATTTTCTCTGCGATTTAAGGAAGCTACAAACAATCTGGCAGTTAAATGGGAGGAGCATCAAATTGATTATATTGATATAATGCTGGTTGCCTTCTCCAGATTTACCACCTATAAGTTTGCAACTCATCCAAACTCAGCTACTCCCAACCCTTCATGCACTAAGAGTCACATGTCCATTACCTCCATCCTCAACAAAATTTACATTCACCCTAACTACAGCGGATTGGCTTGAATGCTCAGTCTCCCTTTTATATCCTGATTCATCCCTCTCCTTTCAACATCTGTGACTTTCTCCAACTTCCTTCTTCTGCGCACCTCCACCGTTCCACAATCTGTAATTTTCACTTCATTCAAAGCTCTTCTGAAGTCTATCTCTGTGATTGCGCCTCCACGCACTTACAGCAACCTCCAAACAGAAAACTCACACAGTGTTGAGAAGCTGCCAAAAGGCAGATGTTCTTGGTGCGTCTAACCCCAATGTGATTACTCTAATTGAAGATGCTCAGCGAAAGCACAAGGAGATGTTACTAAAACAAAGTGAGAAACTGGTAGTGAAGACCATCCTGATAAAGGAGAAGTTGAAGCAGTTTCAGTTGGCTGATCGCTACACGGAGCTAACAATTATTTCTGATGTACGTGACCGGGATCTGTTAGAACATGAGCTGCTGGCGAGAGGCAGAGACCACGAGGAGTGGAGACAGAAGCAGCTCCGGGGAGAGCTGGAAAAAATCCGAATTGATAAACTATTCCACAGCAGTTTCTCTGGAGGAGGTTTATTTTCCAGGATGAAAAAATTCTACAAGAGAAGCGGATCTGGCAATTTCACAGGGACTTCCGCAGTAGTGAGTGGAGTGGCGGGGATTGGAAAAACAACCATGGTGCAAAAGATTGTCCATGACTGGGCCACAGGCAAAATCTATCCTCACTTTCACTTTGTTTTTATTTTTAAATTCCGAGACTTAAACAGCCTTAACTGCAGAATAACACTGAACCGCCTGATCGTGGAGCAGTATCCGTACCTCAAGTGTGTTCTGGATGAGCTGTGGAAACACCCAGAGACATTGCTCTTTATATTCGATGGTTTGGATGAATTTAGGGGAAGTATTGATTTCGCTGACAGTCGGAGACACACAGAGGCTCAGCGCAGGTGCACAGACCCTGAATTCCGTTGTAAACTTTCTGACATTGTCTACAGTTTAATACAGAAAAAGCTGCTGCCAGGCTGCTCAGTGCTGGTGACCAGCCGCCCCACTGCATTACAGTTACTGGCAAAGGCTCAGGTCAGTGTCTGGGCTGAAATCCTGGGATTTGTGGGTGAAGAGAGAAGGGAATATTTTCACAAGTTCTTTGAGGATCAGGAGGTGGCGGCTGCTGTTTACAGCCACGTGGAGGAGAACGAGCTCCTGCTCACCATGTGCTTCAACCCGTCCTACTGCTGGATCCTCGCTCTGTCTCTGGGTCCCTTCTTTACACGGACACACAGCAACAAACAGCGAGTTCCCAAGACAGTCACACAACTCTTCTCCTATTATATTTATAACATACTATCACATCACAGTGTCAAGATGGAAAGCCCCCGTGATGTGATGCTGAAGATTGGTGAGATGGCCTTCGCTGGAGTCTCCCAGAGAAACATTGTCTTTAATGAGGAAGATCTGATCAAATATGACCTCCAGCCTTCCCAGTTCCTCTCTGGCTTTCTCATGGAACTTGTGGAGAGAGAGTCTTCAGAGCACAGCGTGGTCTACACATTTCCGCACCTCACTATCCAGGAGTTTGTAGCCGCACTCGCTCAGTTTCTGCCTCAAAATACAGAAAATCTGCGGAAACTACTGAATAATGCTCACAAGGAGAAGGACGGCCGGTTTGAGATATTTCTGCGCTTTGTTGTGGGTCTCTCCTCCCCACGGGCAGCTCAGCCACTGGAGGAGTTTCTGGGTCCATTTGTCCATCAGACAATCTGTGTGGTGATCAATTGGCTGAAGGAGAATTTTAGAACTCACACGGAATTCAGCAAAAGCACCAGTGGGAAAAGGAATCTGCTAAACACACTCCACTATCTGTTTGAATCTCAGAATCAAGCCCTGGCACAGCAAACACTGGGCTCTGTACAAACACTGACATTCGGTGATCACTCTCCAGACAAAGCATTGAGACTGACACCGATAGACTGTGTTGTGGTGTCTCAGGCCATTGGACTTTGTACAACAATAAAACAAATGGATCTGAGGAGCTGCTACATTCAGGATGAGGGTCTTCAGCGTCTGGTTCCTGCTCTGCGCAAGTGTCAGGAGTTGCAGTAAGTTTACTCTATTTGTAAACCTTATTCATATTATTCTTGTTTCAAAGCCATTTTGAAGCATTTTACTAACATCAAACACCAGCTGATCAATGGGAGAACGGTAACGCACAGCAGAGAGAACTGTGGGTGACACTGTGATGGCCGTCATATACCACAATCCTGCCCTGGGGGATTGGGATGTGAATGGCTGACATTCCACTGCACAACTGGCTGCTCCACACCCTGAGCCCTTTGGTGACATTCCCAGATTGCTGATGTTATTGGTATTGATTCCTGACTCCCACCTGAAATAGACACTTTATTGAATAAATTGTAACTTGAACACAGGTCAGACATACCCCACTTTCTACTCAGAGACGTAATTCAATGGTTCTGGTTTATCCATAAAGGAAAGGTTTCTCCTGACACCAGAGTCTCTGACACACGGAAACCCTTCTAACCTCTATCCCTTTGAGTTTCTCCCCATCTCAGGCCACAGGATTCACTCCCTGAACCCGGTGGTTATGCCAGAGGCTTCCTGTGTCCTCTCCGCCCGGTGGCAGCATCTCTCCAAGTGCTGCATTCCAGGGCTAAGAGACCTACCAAGGGCTTGGCCATTCCTTTTATCCAGGGGCAGCCTTACCCTCTCTCCAGTACAATGTTGTAACTCTCAAGCAACATAATTCACACTAAACACATCTCCGTCAGCCTGACATCAGTCTGACAGGTGTGGGTTCCCCTGGCCCTGATGAAAATTCTCTATTTCCAGCTCCTGAGAACTCCCAGCCACAGAGATTATCTTTCACAAATTTGGGGCTCACAGTCTATGGCGAGTGAGAGAATAGAGACACAACCATTGCTCTGCAGCTGGTGCTCACAGGCCGGGCTGGCAGAAGCCAAGACATTAGTCTCACTGACACTGACTGAGGGTGACAATGCTGCTGGAATAGCGTAACTCTTCTTTTGCCAGGACCAGGCACTGGGTAGATCCCAATCCATGTGGACCCAGCAGCACACCATGTTAAGATGTATTACCAAGCTAAGGGCTGTGAGAATTGCAAGACATATTATTACGATTATCATTGTATTCGATAATTTATGTGGGCTCCACTTTGTCTCCAGAAAGCTTCTCCCCCATCCCCTGCACCGCCTCATGTGGTGTTCCTTAGGGCTCTGTTCTCGGCCTCTCCTCCTCAACCTGTCCATGTTTCCTCTTGTTGTTATCAACTGCAGAAACAGGGTCAACTTCCACATGTATGCAGATGACTACGTCGCTGCCTCCACCCTTGAACCCCACGTCCACTGCTGTCCTGATACAATGTCTGTCAGATATCATGTTCTGTGTCAAAACAGCTTTCTACAGCTGAATGTCAGCAAGACTGAGGCTCTCCTGATTGGCTCTCAACAGCACCTCCGCAACTCAAGCAGTTGCAGCTTCAGCATCCCCGGATGCCCACTCCACCTCATCAAGCCAGTCAGGAACTTGGGTGTCTTGTCGATCGTCAACTGTCCTTTCTCCCCAATATCTGTGCCATGATCAACTGTGCCTTCCACATCCGCTGCTTCATTGCCTAACTCCACCACTGCCTCACCCTTCAGGCCGCCAAATCCCTGATACACACCTCCATTACGCCCTGGCTCAAATATACCAAT